CATTGGGAGGATGAATGATTAGAGATCCCTAAGTGGTCTTCATTGCTGGGAGTGTGGAGGTGAAGGAAAGTAGAGGGCAAGAGCAGGTGCGGAGGCAAGTAAATAAGCCCGGTGGAGGTGGAGACCTCGTCCCGACGCCTACCGGACTCTACTTGGTCCTCCCTTGTTGCTTTACATTTGTCAATTTCTACTCCATAAGTAGATCAATGATGATAATGATGATGATGATGGATTCATTCTCGCTTCTGGCATCCATATGGACCGCGTGATCGCAGTCACTATGACCAGCAAGCAACTGATGACACGGCCTCGCTCCATATACGTACCATGCGGCCAACCAGCTTGTTTCCTAGGCTAAATAGCTTCCCAACGGCTAATTAGCTTCGTGATGAAGCAGTTTTCATCATGATACTCCCTGCAAGAGCCCTGAGTTTTCCGATGGCAGCTTTGAGGGCGGGTGCTTCGGGATTCTCTGCTCCATAAATTGATTGATTAAGCCTTATTCCCAAATAAAGTCGTCTTCGCGAGGCTCTTCCCGCGTCGCAGACGGCCAACCAGGGTGACTGCGGTGTTTCTATATACATGAAATTTCCCGTTGGCCTTGATTCCTTGGTGTTCTTCCTGCCTGAGTGAAAGCCTAACGCCTCTGTCTCCACGTTGGCCGGTTGGCCTGGGTTTCTGTGGGAATCCTCGCGTCTCCGCTGAACTGCCTTGGCCAAACGTTGGTGGTTCTTCCAGCTTGGGTCCTCTTTTGCTGCACGCAGTCACTCGCCAGGTGACTCCCTCTGTCACTTAATCACCTTGAGGTAGTTGTTTTGGTCATGGATGTGGCGAGAGGAGGGTAGGTGTGGAAACAGCAGTCAGGTAGAGGCAGGTGCCGCCTAGCCTACCCGTGCCGTGCCGAATTAGCCCAGATCTGTCGCGATTCATCAAGTTCCCCTGCTTCGCACTGCCTTCTGAGAGCCGCCGCAGTCCTGGGTTGTTAAGTATCAGTTTGTTGCGGTATCCGCACGCGGGGCAAGAGGATATATGAAGAAGAAGAAGAACAATGATTCCCATGCAACGCTCGTAGATCATATAGGTTTCATACAAAAGAAGCTTTCAGCGTCAAGCTGTATATCACAGTGAAAATAACACCAAATGCCACCCATGGAATGCTCCAGAAAGCCCCTTTAACGCCTTCGAAATACCAGCTGCTGCATTAATTAACTAGCAGTCGCTAGCTGAGCCACCAAATCCGAGGCCACGTCAAGGAATGGGTAAGGACTCGTCACTTCTTTCTCCTTGTTCCGGAACCGTTTACTGATAGGGTGCCATTCGCTGTCACCTCCACCACGTATCACATTTTGGTATCCATCACACTTGAAGTCGACCATGTAGTTGTTTTCTTCCAGCTGGTACAGCTGGATGTCAACGAACACCCAAACTCCGTACGAGATCCGCGAGATTGTGTGAGCCTGGGTCGCCGAAGAAGGATTCGAGATGGTCGCGTGCTCTGGGGTGAGGCCCTTGTCATCAGCCGAGAATGGTCCGGTGGAGAAGTTGAACCGGCGCCGCAGGTCTTCCAGGTTCAGATCACTTCGGCTGCTATGCACACTGGCAGTCTGCCCGGGCGCCTTGACTCCCTCCTTCAGGAGACGCGCTCTAATGAACCAGGGGTCCTTTGGGATGTAGTAATCTGACGGTAGGTCTGGGTACTTGCTTTGAAGAGGCATAGGCTGGTCCGGGGGCTGTTCGCCTATTTGCAAGGCATCTGAGAAGCTGCCTGTTAGCTCTGAGGCTCATAACAAACACTCATAAACTTACCTGCTCCAGTAGGTGCTATTTCCCAGATTCCTCCCTGGGCTGAGATGGCTTTGTATAGATAGAGCATTGCTTCATAAGGTTGGTTACGAGAGCGAATGCCAAATTGCCACTTTCGCGACCGTTTGGGCTGGTGCGGGGCACTGCGACCTTCGGGGGGCTGGAGGCGCAGTTTTTCAAGGTCCACGATGCTGCGGGAATGGGGTTTCAAGGCCCTTGCAGTCGCCTCCTGCTCCTCCTGCGAGCGCCCCGCTTGACCATTCCGATTCAAGTCATCCTCGGCATCAAGACCACCATGCGCCTGTTCCTCAGATGAACGCTCCGCAGCTCGTTCTCTCTGCTCACGTTCCCGCTGTTCCATGAGTTGGTCATGTACAAACGGCACACTGGTCGGCAGAATTCGAACATGGCTAACTCGCGGCGCATCGGGATCATCGGCATTACTCTGCTGAGACAGTTGGGACGGTTGACGTTGTGAACCACTTCGCGGTCTCGTAGGGGCGGTTAACGGGGATCCTGGGCTCAGCGGAACAGTCGATCGGCCAGCCGTGGCTGAAGACTGAGGGACTCGATCGGGGGGTGGTGAAGGGGCGACGGGAGGACCCATCAGGTTGTCGTCTGTTGGCGCTGTGGGTGAAAGTCAGCGTACTAGTCAATTGGCCGTGGCGAAGCAAGATTGACCTAACTTACAGTTCGTCTGCATCATCTCGTTCTCCATGATGATGAAAAAGGCATCTTTGATGGCGCTCGGTTCAGGGTTCTTTAAAGCGTCTTCAATGTCCTCGCGCGTATATCCCATGCTCCTCTCCAGTTTTGAAATGGCGACCTGATGGATCTTGTGCTGCACGGACAGGGGTTTTCCCGGCGCAAGTTTGCGTGGATCAATGGCCTTATTTGGGTCCACACCGGTAGCGATGAATTCCTCCGGAGGGGGCTGCAGATACTTCGGTAGTTCTTGTAGAAACCAAGGATCCTGGCGAATTTCTGGAATGGTTATCCGATGAACCGGATGAACTTGCAACATCGACCGGATCAACCGTGCAGCTCCGGAGGATATGTACGCAGGCATATGAAAGTTTCCTGCTGCTATTTTCTTGAAAAGAGCTGGGATATAGTCGTCGTCGAAAGGAAGCCGTCCCACTAATAGCACATAAAGAATGACGCCGCAGCTCCATACATCGACCTCCGGTCCTGCGTAGAGCTTTCCCGAGATAACCTCGGGGGCTGCATAGTTAGGGCTACCACAGCTAGTCTTGAGGAAGTTCCCATCTGTCATAATGTTGCTCAGGCCGAAATCAGCAATCTTGACGTTCTTCTCCCGGTCGATGAGCAGGTTTTCCGGCTTCAGATCACGGTGGACGATCTTGTGACGATGACAGTACTCTACTGCACATATGATCTGTTGAAAAAACTTGCGAGCTTCGGCGTCGTTGCACCGACCCCGCTTCACCAAATAATCGAACAGTTCTCGCTCGGCATACTCCAAGACCATAACAATATCGGTCTTGGTAGCAATGACGGTATATCTTTCGAGGCGAAATTTCCATTAGCTTCTCATCGCGATTGCTTCAATCCTGGGGAGATGTGCGGAGCTCCTTACAGCTTAATAATGTGAGGGTGTCGTAACAATTGCAAATATTGGATCTCACGTTCGACACGACCGACCATGTCTCGAGACAACAATTTGCGACGGGAAATGATTTTGAGAGCGACCTGCCGACCACTCGGCTGGTGAATTGCTAGCTTCACCTTGCCGAATGAGCCCTCTCCCAGTATCTTCACCGTTTGATACTGATCAAGGCGCTGCATGTCTCTGGTGGTGGCCGGAGACTGCATCGCAGCGTCGCCGCCTTTGCCGATCGGGCGGGATGGCGGAGGCATCGCCATGGCAGGGAAGTTGGAATTGGGGGGAGGAGGATTGGATGCACTGGGACGACGGTCACGAGGGCGATCGGCTTCGAAAGGAGGAAGGGAAACGGAGAGGTCTTCGTCGTCAAAGGCGGCAGCCATTCTGACCCTTTGGGGGGGGGAGGGTGGGTTGGGTGTGGGAGATCAGAGCCGACGTCGGTTCGGCGAGTTCGGGGGAGGTGGGATCGAAGGACAACGTGACGTGATGGATTTTGGAGCGGAGAGGGCGAAAGAGGGGAGATTTCCGAATTTCTGTTACGAAGGGGAACGGGTTCTTCTTGGGTAAGTTTTGCAGAAGCCAATAAGGACTGATAGGATGGTGAAGGTCGACGACGGGTTTGGACTCCCCCACAATTTCAAGTTGGCTCGAGTGGAGTTGGGATGTGTTGGTTGGGCGGGCGACAAGAGGTTAAGAATAGCAGCGAGGGTACGGAGGAGCTGTTCACCAGTTGGCTCATCCTCAGCGGGGCGGAAGAAGGGGGGCGGAAGAGCCAGACTCAAAGCTATCTTGGGATAAGGAATAATCCCTGCGTCACCGTGGTGGGCAGTTGGCATGAGTGATAGCTATTGATATTGGGTTCAAGTCAAACAGTGATCAGCAAGAATGCGACCATCCTCAGTCTAGAGTATGCGACAAGTCAGAGAGAGGAGGGGTAATGAGATGAAAGATGATTACTGGAGATACGTAAGGTAGGTATTCGGTCGGTAACAATGCAGTTTGAACAAATGGGTTTGGTATGGTATTTCTCCATGTAGTGAATCTTCCGCCATTCAAGGTTCTTATCTACAGTACTACAGTATTCATGTATGTCCATGGATGCCACCCAATCAATCCGTTCAACACATGGAGAAGCAAGGTATCTTCTACGTGCGACTCGACCTGGAAAAAATAATCATTCTACTTGACTCCAGGTGTGAGACTCGCACCACTTCAGCCACTTCACTATGCCCGTAATATTAGATCAGACGAACATAGCAACGATTCAGAAATATATCTCCAAATTACCTTTTCTTGACAACTTCATCAAACACAACACCAGCTGATGAGCAGACAAGCGATTCAAATTCATGTTATCACCTACAGAACAAAAGTAACTACGCCATCAATCATGTATGGTGTAGATGTCAAAAACATACGGTGGAATGAGCCAGCCCGAAGCTTGCCAAGGCGCTGCGCCGTTGCTGTCAAGTGTACATACAGTACGGCGAGGTAACTTCAGTGGGGGAAGCTCCGAGGGACAGCTGAATGATCTCCCCTCCCCTCTGTCTGGAACGGCCGCTCGTTCCACCACAAACAAGCCTTACACCTCTTCCGACCGGCTCAAGCTAGGCCTCAATCCTGATCCATTGCCTTTGGGGCATTAAACTTCAACTTACCTAGCAGTCTTACACCTGGATTTACACCGTCGTCAGCAGGCAGGGAGCCCGACCCCGGCATGGCGGCCGAACCGAGAGAGGAGGAGATCGCGAACTTCGTGAACTTTACCAGCTCGTCGCGCGAACAAGCTATAAGCTTCTTGAAAGTTTGTATCCGGACTCTCTGGCGTTACTGTCATAGCTAATCCAAGTCTCTGTACAGGCTAATAACTTCAACTCAAATCAAGCGATCAACGCCTATTTCGAAGACCCGACCGGCCCTCTGACGCAGGTGATAAACCGGACTTGCGCCTGGACACTGAGAAACACGAACTGACTGCAGAATTCAATACGATAGGCAAATCAGTATCAAAATGAGCCCGATATGTCTGGTATGTGCCTCTCTCTTTCTGAGGTTGGACTCGTATGTACTGATGTTCCTGTCTTTCAAGCCTTCCAGATCGAGCATGTCGACTCACCGTATAGCCCTTCTGCTGGGCCTCCATCCCGTCCTCCTCCATCCCGACCACCCTCTACTTTAAACCTCAGATCATCCACTGATCCTGCCTCAACACAGAACAACACCGGTGAGAGTTTCTTGATTGGAAAATGCATAAGCTGCTACTTGCGCATCGAGCTGACCTGGCTCGTCAGCCGACAATGGCAAAGGTTTAACTCTGGCCGAGCAGGAAGAACGTGAGCTCCAACAAGCAGTCGCCATGTCTTTGAGTCAGAACCTCGGGCAGCAGGAGACAGGTGTCACAAGGACAGGAAATACAAGCTTCAGCCGAGCGACCCGTGATCATTACGACGAAGGCGCATGGGCAATGACGCTATTCAACTCCAGCGCTCACGAGATTATCATCAGTCCTGACCCCACTGATCGTAAAAGACGAGAAGATGAACCGGCGTTCATTCGCCCGTCTCAGGAGAGCACGCACCTGGGTGGATTGGTGACGATACTTCACTCGATTCCCCTCGCAAGGGAGGCCATTCTGCTGCGCAATCGCGCTCTCCCCAACTACGGCCACGATTCTCAATGGTGGAATGGACAGCCAATCAATCTTCCCAAAATAGTGACTATGTCCGAAGCCCATGAAGGTGATACTGATTGGGACGATATTATCTACGAGGCTCAGAGGCTCGTGGCATTCTTGGATACTACAACGCGTGCTTTTGGCAGTCCTGATGCTCTGGCAAGTCTACAATGTATTTCCCAGCACGACCGCGATAGTGCTGTTTCTAGGTTTTTGGAAGCATGGCAAGAAGCGGCGGTCCGCGCGGACCCAGGGAACCAGCTGGGGACAATATTCTCCACAACTGGCTACAATGGGCCAGCAGAAGACATGATGGAACAGAAGGAGTTTCACTTACTTGAACCCTTGGTTGAGCACGATCCTGGTCAAACACTCTACGATGTTCTTGATCGTGCTTTTTGGTGCGACAGACCAGACCAGCCGCTCGAAGAAGTTTGGCTTGAAACTCTTGCCCAAGTACTTGTCATGAAGCTGGAAAGCTCACAGAAGCCCATTGATGTGATCGTCCCCCCCGTATTTTATGCCGACCGGTACATGGCGAACAGCAGAGATGTCGCCCGCGAGTTCCGTACACGGCGACTTCAAGCTTACGAGAAGATTGACAAGTTAGGCAAGGCCATCAAGCGCTGCTCACAGTCCAACTTAACAGCCCAGACAGGAATGACCTCCAGGGATGTTCTCGAGAAGGCTGCCTCTGTCATAACTTCCAAGTTTGCTGATTCAGCACCAAGTGACATGGACATCGAAAACGTAGCAAAAGAATTGAGGGCGGTTTCGGCCAGGATAGAGAAGCAGCTTAGAGGTAAAGCACACTGTCTTACATGTCTCGTATTGCTGCTGATCATGTTGTGCAGGCTTGGAGGACAAAAAGCAAAGAATCAAAGACAGTCTGCGAGACTATTCCAGATTCCTTACGGATGCTACACCTGATGCCGAGCCACATCATAGATACACTCTGCGAGGTGTTTGCACTGAGCCTCATGTGACCTACGTCCTCAAACGTCGTGACCAGCGCGTGCCACAAAATAATGAGCCCCCAACGACGGAAGAGTATCAGTGGTGGCGCTTCAGTTTCTCAACGGAAGATGCAGCCATTCGCAAAGCCGAGTCGCAGGGCCGAGTTAAATGTGACTCTGACCAAACGGACATCATCGGCTACACTGCGCGCAGGGTTGATGAGGCCGAGGTGCTTCGCGCAGCCCGCGAAGAGTCAAGCCAGGTTCTGCTTGTCTATGCCAACACCAATGCAATTAGAATGCAGGAAGAAACCGCTCCTGTTCAGCTGCAGGTAAGAAAGCGCCCCTAATCATGGTGATACTCGTAATTGACAATGTTTCAGAAATTTGTAGCGAGGGACAACGAAACATTCGAGTCAGAGCTCCAGGACGCGGAGGTGGCACACAATCCACCGGACACGCAACATCAGTCATCTGGTACTCTTGTGGGTAATCATTCAAACAGGTACACATCGACAGCACTAACACCCTTTGGCAGCCATCACCGAACCCAGAGCAGCAGCAATCCATGCAGAATGTGAACGTCTTTGACTATCAGGTACCCTCTTTCAGCGAGACACAGGGGCAGGGCCAAGAGATGCAAGAGGTAAATGGGCGACCTTTGCTTAGCCGTAGCAGCACAGCTGGTCCTGTGCAACCTACCTTAGATGCCGATATGTGGGACGCGGTTGACGACAAAGCGACGTGAAAATGAAGAACCACAACCTTGTACTTATGGATATACATATGGCATGCCATGCTTCGAACGACTGAAGTGTGTTAAAGAGATTGCAATCATTAAGGATGGAATTGAACAATCAGTCGTAGGCTTGTAATGATAACTTGGAAGATCATTGTCGGCGGAACCATTTGTTGTGGAATTGGGAGCTTCCCCACGTGTGTATGTCCAGTTTGCACCCCACTCTCCTATCCCCAAACACCCCGAGAATCCAATTCACAAGTCACGTCAACAATTCCTATCAATTCCCTCATGGCCCTCGAAAACGACACGGTGGCTGGCGCCACTATAGAGCTTCTGGAGACTCGTCTCCGACGCCTCACATACCTCCTCACCGGCGACGCCAACTGGACCGGCGAACCCACGCCGCCCGCAAAGCCGGCCTCTCTGGACGACAGCATCTCACGTCGGCTCCTTCGCCTTGAGAAGGATTTGGAACGACTGAGTCGGAACATCCCTGCCGTGAGGGACGTTCTCAGTCTACGTATGTCGATGAATTCTCTTCCTATCTGCCTTGCTATCTTGACCACGCTTTTCAAAATTATCTCCCATGTCCGCCCCCCCCCCCCCTGGTATATACGCAAACAGAACCAACCACAACCACTAACGCGATATACCACTCCAGACGATCGCTTCCCCGAACTCTTTCGCCCAGCACCGCCAGGCTCCCTCCCAGAGAATCTGACCACCCAAAATCTCGCCTCGGTCGTTCTATCCTATGCCTCTGCGTTTCCCGAAACCGCCTCCCGCCTCTCCTCACTAAATGACCTCCCCATCCCCGACGCGGAGACCTCGGCCTCCTTGATCCAACTCCAACCCCGACTCGACCAGCTATCCAAGACCCAAGAGGATCAGGCCCGGCAGATCTCGGAGCTACGGGTCCGGTCGGCCAAGGCGCTGCAGCGATGGTATGAGGTTGCGCTGGTCAGTGGCGGGGAGTGCTGGGCGGAGTGGGAGGGGCGACTCGAGGATGTGGAGAGGGAAGTGAGAAGGGAAGAGGTGGTTAGGGAGAGGAGGGAGAAGGAGCTGTGAGCATGAGCATGGGCTTGTTCACGATGTGCTTTGCTGCTGGGAGTGTTGTTGATGTTTCTATTTTCGAGTGTGTTGGGTTCTTAGCGTTTTCCCATGGGCTTTTGTGATACCATTGTCCCCTTTTTCTTCGGTTTTTTTTTCTCGGTGACGGATTTTGGGCTCAGGCTTTAGAGCCTTGAGTGTCTCATGTGAGAAGTTGTGTGGATCTACATCTACTGCTACGAGTACTGAGTATCAAGGGTGAATGCTGTGGTGGTGAAGAGAAAGCCTAGGAAGGAAGGAGAGCAAAGCTATTGCTTGCTACGAGAGAGTTAGGCCGCTTGCACTGCATTCTACTGCACCACATGCACCACTCCATGCTGAAACCGACCAACGGAGTCTTGGGAGGGGGGGCGAACAAGCAGCGGCATTTGAGTGGTGCAGGGCAGGCAGGATAGTATGCGATGGGCCTGGACCTCTTTTCCCCCAATGTGAGCGAGCCGCTGAGAGATATCAGGATCGGCCCTCCTTTCGGATGTCGGGACGAAAGAACTGATGGACGGGGCGAGAGGGCCGGCCGGTACTAAAAATGTTTAAGATTGACTTTCCGAGCGTGCAGTCTTTTCATTATTCTAAGACCCGCCCCATGGGTGCGGGATTCTCAAATTTGCCATGCGCTCATCTCTCGACCCTTGCCGCCAGTGGAACGATGACCGGTGGAGAGGCCTGGAAGGCAAATTAGGTAGTTGTGCTGCTGTTTGTGCTGCTGCTGCTGCCGCCGCCGCTGCTGCCTTTGCAGTGTTTACCACCCCCGAGACTTGTCCGAGGCTCATTTGACTCCTTCTCTCCTTCTCGTTCTTGAATGCGAAATAGGGAGGGAGGCAGGGCTGGTGGTGGGCCATCCCGGAAAGTGAAAATGACAGGTCCTCGAGGCTCCGTCAGTTGTGCAACATTTGTGACGGGAGAGAGGTTGACAACAAGCATTGGCTCGGTGTAGCCCACACATCAGAAAATAAAAATCTCGGGGATCTACGGGGGAAAACCGGTGCCTCACTCTCGGTTTGTTACTCTAGACTTTTGAGTTTGGTTCATGCCTCTCTCTCTCTTGTGGATAACCTGTGCCATATTGGAAGGGTGTCTGCAGGTTCAGCCTTGCGTTGTCCGCCTTTTGTCGTTCCCAGGACGGCGTCGCGGTTCCGTTGGTTGGGATGCCTGGCGGTTCTGTACCTTGGACACCTTGGAGTGAGCCATAGTGTCGGATATGCGCATATAGGACTGAAGTGGACAGAGAGAGATGGTCTTGTTGATGTTCTGTAGTTGTTGTCTTCACACATAGGATGATGCATATGTCGGCGTCTTCAGAATACACAGTACAACAACTGATAAGCTGAGTGTCGAAACCGATAAACAAACTATGTCGAAATTCAAACCAGACGGGCCAGAATCGCAGTCATGACAAATGTGCTGCTGTAGGTTGAATGCAAAGAGTGAGCCAAAGGAAAAAGAGAGAAATCAAACTTTCCTCCTTCCATTCTCATCTTAAAATTATGACTGATGGGGATGGCGGTAGACTCAAGTTCCAGTCGAGCCGAAATCTGGAAGTTTCCGGGCAGGCAAAGATGATGGGGTCGAGGATTGAGGAGCCAGCAGCCCTAGAGAGCATGCGTGCGTGTTTCATGTCTTGGTTATCAAGCCACAGGTTGAACCTCAGCCTCAAAGGGGCCAGACGGTCTGCCGTGAGTCCTGTACCTTGCGACTGGAATCCACTCGCGTGGCTACTTTAGTCCTAAGAAAGGAAAGGCGTGAGACCGTGAGAGGTGCAAAAAGAAAAGAAAAAAAAGAAAAGAAAGAGAAAAAAAATCATGGGCGTTGCGTTGCGTGCGTCGTGCCGGGGCCTTTCCTTCCCCCCCCAAGTGGAATTAGAGGGACCCATTTTCGTAGGAATGTGCATCGATCTTCGTTTGAGAAGCGTGGGCAATTACGGAGCCCTTTTTTTTCATTTTCTGACAGGATTGCCCCCTCCCCCTCTCCTCTCTTTGACAGGCCTCGATTCCCAGTCGACTTTTCGATCTTCTCTCATCCGGCTTATTAGTACGTGTGTAATTACGGTCCGGATATTTTGATTTGATTTGGATTTGGAAAGGGGAGGACGAAATTTGATTGAACCATGGACCATTGGATCGGGGCTGGTACCGGATTTTGGACAGGTTCTGGGTACTTGTGAATGGATGGATGGATGGATTGCTGCTGACTGTGATTGTTTCGTCAACAATGAAGCCATGTGAACTAAAGGTACCTGTTAGCAGTCAGACTGTGGATACTGGAGACTGGATAGTGGTACGTAGGCATAAGAATAGTAGCAAATAAATCGTGAAGAGACACACACACATACACTAACCGTTCTTGAAGAGGGGCCAAAACTGTAGAGTATGCAGTCTGTTGCCTGTCTTACTCATATTTTCTTCTCTTGTCCTTTGCGGTTCACGGTTCGCGTGGAGCCAGCCTGAGGAGAAGCCTGAGTCTGGTGGTTGAATGCCTGAGCCCTGAGGTGGTGATGAAAATGGGGCCAGTCAGATGGATTCCTGCCAGTCATTGGCTGTTTCTCTCCCGCTCCAGCAGTCAAACTTGAAGCCGCCCCTCCCCATCCGTCCCTTCAGGAAGTTCACTGCACCTAGTCAGGTACCGTACTCCGTACAAGTTACAACAACAACTAAACTGATGTACTAATGGACACTATTCCAGAATCGATCTGTTAACACGCAGCCTGCGCCTGGAGTCTGGTTTGTCTAAGTGTCTATCGCTCTCTGTTCCTGTCTGTGTCGCTGAGTACTCTACCGCCTACAGTAGTTACCTACCTATGAGTCTTACCTACACCTCCATTGTCTCTCTGGGTCCCTCTCCTTTTCCTAGGCTTCACCTTCAGGTCTCCATCCATCCAAGTCCCAATCACCAAACTCGGGAATCAGTCGACCAACAACGGCTAATTGACCAACTGGGCAACTGTACTAAACTTTCCCACCTTTAGCTCCCCTTCTTTCTCTCCACGGCTCCAGGTCCCCCGGGCTTCAAGCTGGTTCTATCTCTTCTCTCTTTCTCATCTTCCACTCCCGCTTCTCTCCTCTCTCCTTTGGATTCCCCTCCCCCTCCCTCCCTCCCTCCCTCCCTTCAACTCATTCATTCGTTTGAATCTCGGTTCCCCTCATTTCAATCTCTCTTCACTTTCTTTCGTCTTTTCTCTGTCCATCTTTCCTGTCCGTTCATCTTGTTCGGGCATTAACGTTTCCATACTTATCCTTTTCTTCAACAGCCTGGTGCTGCTCTTTCTCGTTCATCCTCTGCAAGGGGTGTTCCTCGTTGGACTTCTTCCCACGGCTCATTGAACCCAGCCTCTTCGGAGGACCCTTCCTCACGGCGCTCTCTGGGTCAATACTCCGCCTGTTTCAAGACTGTCCGTGTCAATTGTGTCCCTATCCTGATCGCCAGCCGTATCGTTCGACCCTCATTTTACTTGGTCTGTCTCAGAAGTATGTGATGCATCACCCCTGCCGGGCACTCGTTAAATTGTGATTTGCCTTTAATCTTTTTTTAAACTCTCCTACCTACCCTCATGTCGGCTGCTCGTTTTTCCTTTCTGCATGACTTGGCCTGGGATGGTTCGTGTTGTTGTCGTGCCTCAACATGTCCTCCGACCGTTGCCGATCGATTGGCTTGCATGATTCTCTCGACGCTCACGTTCGTCCTCTTCCAAGCTGACTGACTGCGCTGTAGTCCCATCCCTATATCCGCGCGCTCATTGCCGCAATCTACGATCGTCATTTCGCGTGTTCGCATTCCACTTTCTCTTTCTCGTTACGAATCAAAGCAAAGGGGACCTGCCGTCGCTGCTCCGCATACCACCAATGAACGTGAGGTCATAAGCCACATCGCATCGCCTTGTGAACAACAAATCATCGTTCCGACGACCGCCATATAAATTCTTTGCGACTCTGAACCACATTCATGGTGGCATACTCTTCCCACTCACCATCGCTTCACAAACCACATCTATATCCAGAGCCCGCTCGCAAGATGGTGCGCTTTAGAGCCAGCAATATTCTTGGCGACCCGTTCGCACTTGCCACTACTTCCATCTCCGTCGTACGTATCCCAGCCCCGTGAGGCCATTCTTCCGCGGACACCGGCTAATTGGGTTCAATCGCTTAGTTAGCATGGTTGATCGCATTCATTTCCTCGATAATCACTGGAATCCATGGGGGCTATCCCACTTATTCATGGTGGGCCTTGGCGTATGGGTTCTGCATCATTGTCGGGATGGCTCTCGTGTTTGGAACGGATACAGGCGTGGTCTATAACATCGCGGTATGACACTCTGGTCTCTGCTTATGGAAATCCCCCAGGCTGATTGCTTCTAGATTGTGGGCTACCTGTCCGCTGGTCTCGTCTTCTCCACAATCTCGGTAAACTCGCTTGTTTATTCGAGTAATGCAGCTTCGCAAGCCGCGGGTGCAGGCTTCATCCTTCTGTCCATGGTGATCGTGCGTCATTTTCTCCCACGTGTTTACGGCAATGTCCTCGGCGCAATCATATACTTACGATGGCAATAGATTATCTGGATTTTCTATTTCGGATCGAGCCCACAGGCTTCTCACCGAGGTTTTATCGATTCATTCGCCCTTCAGAAGGAAGGCGCTGGTTCGTACGGCAACAGCAGACCTATGTCCACCGCATTCGGAAATCGACCCGAAACGACGTCGAGCCAGCCACCTCAGATGTACACTTCTGCTCAGCTCAATGGCTTCGAGACCTCGTCGCCTGTCTCGGGCTATCATGGTGGAGCCCCCGGGTCGGAACACCGCACCTCACAGCCCCGCTTCGGCAACCCGTCAGCAACGAATCTTGCCCCGCCCGGCAGTGGTGTGCCTCCCGATGAAGTTCCGCAACCGACCGAGTATCCGTATCGCGCGAAGGCTATCTACTCTTACGAGGCCAACCCGGAAGACGCCAATGAGATCAGCTTCACCAAGCACGAGATTTTAGAGGTATCTGACGTCAGTGGAAGATGGTGGCAGGCTAGAAAAGCCAATGGAGACACCGGCATTGCTCCATCCAACTATTTGATTTTGCTGTGATCCATCTGTGTCATCAGTCGACTATATGATCGTGTTAGCTCGGCATGGGGTCCGTCACGGTGTAACGTCCTTTCTTTCTGCTCTTTCCTGGTCTGATTCTCGCCTTCTTGGCCCGTCGCGAGAAGAAAAAGAGATCTTTTTGTTTTGATACCCTTCGAGTTGTATCACTCGGCGCGAATCCGGTTTGTGAATGTTTATGTCTTGATGGTTTTTTGGGTTACCTGCTCTTTTTGGACATTTTTTTTCAAGACACATCTCATTCCCTGTTTTATATGTATGTGATTCTCATTGCTCAGAGCGAGCATCTATTGCCCAAGAACGTCTATCAAATGGCACTATGCTAGTGTATTTCCTTGCTCATATCACTGGATGTGGATATTGTTCTCAAGACAGTACTCTGTTTCTTATACATTTCAATGAATTTTCTGTATATTCTCGAGGAAGGTTTTCTTTGTATGTCACCTCGGGGCAGGCAGGCGCACGACTGACGATTAATTATTTCGTTGATGAATCAGTGGAATTTGTCGCCAGCTCTGACGGCTTACAGGATTGTACTTGTTATATTCATTCTCTGGTTCATGCGAACTCAGTCGGACTTCGAATAGTATTCTAACCACCGCATAGGCCCTGATTCTCAACTGCGAGCGACAAGTTCTCCACTAGCCGATCATGGGGAGTCAGCGACGAGCGTAGCTCGTGATCCATTGCAATTATCGTGTTGACTGGCCTTCGGCTCGATTTATACTTGGGGTCGACCTTGTTTGGGAGCTGGTTGATTATGTGTTTTGCATGGAAGTTGATCCGACTAACTTATACTGGCGGGGATTTCTCATCTCATTGACCATTTCGGTCTTAGTTCCGCTGCCGCTCCATCGCCCGCTCTTCCAATGACGGGCTTCGTTTCCCGAACCAGTGGATGATGGCAAGTCTTCCTCAGGGTCCGACTTTATCTTGACCCTTTCACCATGATTCTAGCCTTTGAGGATCGCTAGTCACATCCAGAGTTTTCGAAGGTAGTGGAGCATTCCTGGAGCAAAAAGGAAATTTTATGACGACCATGATGTGCTTGGCTCGAGTGTATGAAAGCTGTCTGTAGAGGGGTTTCCCGCTTCTCCTCAATTGCTATCTATCCTACATTTTTTGCTGGTCAAACTGCTGTGATTATACTTCGGATCCTTTAAAAAGTCTCTTATACTCCTACGTCAGCGGTTGCGGTGCATCCGGGCATCTCGATGGCTGGAGACGGCAATGTCACGGTGGCCTCGAACGTCCTGGGCACCATTGGGACGGTGCTCTGGTGCATTCAACTTATTCCGCAAATCTGGTATAATTGGAAACAGAAGAAGACCGATGGGCTTCCACCCTTGATGATGTTTCTCTGGGCTGCTTGTACGTTAGGATTCCTCTACGGCCCTTTCTCTCCCTAGTGCTCCAGACAAATGCTAATGACATCGGTGCAGGTGCAGTCCCCATGGGAGCCTATATGATCCTACAGGGAGTGAATATCCCGCTACAAATCCAGCCCCAGATATTCGGGTTCTTCTCTCTTGTGAGCTGGGGTCAGGTTCTGTACTACGGCCAGTAAGCGGCTCCGGGTCTTCATCTATTGATCAATCAATCCGTCTGACTTGGCCTGGTATTGCAGCCAATACAGTCGCCGCGCAGCTACGGGAGTGGTGGTCGGCGCTGCGGTCCTGTTTGGCGGGATAGAGGCCCTTTTGATCCTCACGCTCAGAGCACGTGGACCCCCGAATGGGCTTTGACAACAACAAACTGACATCTCGCGCTAATGGATTCCAACAACAGATCCCCTACAACAAGGGAGTCACCTGGCCCGACCTGATCGTCGGCATCGTGGCCGCCATCCTGTTGGGACTGGGGCTCGTCCCGCCGTATTTTGAGCTCTGGAAGCGAGATGGCCGCGTGGTCGGATTCAGTGAGCCTTTTAACACGTACCCTGGGGGTGACGGGCAAGCATGGGCGAGATATGTCTAACCCCGTTTTTTCTAGATTGGGTCTTCCTGTCTATCGACACTTTGGGAGGACTGTTTTCCCTCTTTGCATTGGGTAGGGTCGTTCCTCTTCTTTGAAAAGCGCGCGATTATAGCCCTGAGGATGGTTGATTGTTCGATATGATGGCTGACTTCGGGCAGCGGCGCAGGGTTCCTTCGATATTCTTGGGGGGATCATGTACATTGTTGTGTAAGTTGTGGGGAAAGTTGCGTTAGGGTTTTGGAAAATGCATACTGATTACTGACTTCGATGGGTGAAATGGGAAAGCGTCGTCCTGGAAGGTGGGATCTATGCGAGCCACATTGTTTGGCGGATTCGCTATCGCGCCGTGCGGAGGGAGGCGAAGGCCACGGGCAGGAACATTGATGAGGTGCTTGAAGAACGGTCGAGGTGCTTGGGGGCCTCTGATCCGGAGAATTTGAAGGGTCCTGTTGGTGGCACGGCGGAGAGTCAAGAGAGTGGGAGTGATTGAGATGTGGTTCACTGTTGATGGGTCCAAGAAGTATATATATTGCGAGGCGATATTCTTTTTCACTGGGACTTTGAGGAAGAGAAAGATACATGATTGTTTTGTGGGGAGGGATTTGGATATCTATTCAATGACTGATACAAGAAAGAACCTACACATGGTCCAGGTGAACTCGCAGAAAAGCTCTTCGTAGTTCTGCGACTGATTGCCTTCGGTGTAGAAGCAAAATGGCTCGGATGAACGATCGAAAGTTTCGGCCGGTGAGAAAGATAGCAATGCAGATGTCTGTCTGCAAGTGCATGCATGTAAATGTATTGACAGACCGATCGATGAATTGGAAGGCAATGCCAACACAGCGTGCATGAAACCGACGGTCACTCCCTCATTCTCACATCCTTATTAAACCGTTCGAAGCCCGGCGCTCTGTCGGGCCCAAGCGTGGTGAGGAAATTGGTTTTTTTATTTTTAATAGCACCATTATTTCCCTCGATCCGATTGTTCCTGCAACGGTCATAATAATCTATTTTAAATTGACTGGTAGGTTATATCCCCTAATAATCATGACATCTTGACAATGGATCTTGACATTGACATTTGCTTCACTTTCCTTCTTCTTCTTCTTCTTCCCCTCTCTCCTCCTCCTCCTCCTCCTCCCCTCCCCCTCTCCGCTTCCCCCTCTCTCTCCAAACACAACAACTACAAACATGACATCTCCAAAGTCACAGCCTCTCAATGTTTAAACCCTTTGATATGTTATTCTTGAGGCTGTTATTCTGGTTGCCACTTCGTTGATCGTGCCACTTTTGCTTATCCTTTTTCTCTTTCTTGCCAGCAGAGATCGCAGGCTAATCCGATAATCGACTAGAGCGACAGTCTGTCGTGCCTCATTGACTGGTCATTGGCAGACAGCTTCTGCTACTCCTATTTCTCTCTCTGCTTTTTTTTTTACTTCATGATTACGTTCAATCGTCTCTCTGTTCCATTCCTCTCTGTCCTTAAGTCATGACGAGTGGCTTCACTTCTGTGCCTTGTAACTCCTCGCCCTCATTGATGCTTGTATGCCAACTGAGCCGGCAGGGGACGCGGTGACCTTTCAGGGTCTGTTCCTTCATTCAACCACATCAGCTGTGCACTCATTCTTTTATTTGCTTTTTGCCTGGGCTCTAGTGTGGGTGTTTCAGACTATCGATCTTTTATCGGAGCTGGGTTCTTTTCTTCTGGTTGCTTCCTTGTCTATTCTTAACTTTCCTTTTCCTTCCCGGCCGAAGATTTGTTGTGCCTGGCCCTCCTCTAACGGCGTCGGGCACCTTCTACGCCTTGTACGGAGTCAATTAGAGGAAACCTTCAAAATTTCTTCTTTACCATCCCATGTCTTGTCACTCCTTTACAACTCTTTGCAGCTATTGCTCCAACAAGTCATGCCTGACCGTCGGTGGCTTCGATTGAAGGCGAAGCTCTGGCGGCGATCGTCGACATCCTCCGTTCCGGCCGCCGCCACCGCCAGCACCGATGATGGATCTGCTGGGTCCAGCCATGACTGCAACTTCAGCTCCAGCTTCTCCCACCACGACCCCCCTCCCCCTCATTCCCACGACCACGACCACGACCACGACCACGACCACGACCACGACCACGGCAACGGTAGTCCTCCGACTCCATCATCTCTCCCTCACAATTTTCCCCATCGAGACAACCCCGTCAATTCCGTCACCGACAACGGACAGCTGCAGGACCCATCGGCTAACGTTTCTCCGTCCGCCGATCACCAAACAGCCCGCCGCGCACACTCCTGCCAGACTCTGTCTCGACCTTCTCCCGACGACGGCCGTCCTCCCAGCCACCCGGTCGCTTCGGAGCACGGTGATTCCTTAGCTTCTGCCGCTGTGGGCGACATTTCCCGCGAACCGGTCCCGACCTCCAGCCGAGGACAGCTCGACGGTCCTCTCGACGGTCCTCTCGACAACACTCCATCCGTAAAGCCCCGACCAGAAGATACGGTCGAAGAGCAGCGCGAAGAGAATCGACCGTCGGCCATTCAGCAAACGGGCGCTGCATCTTCCAGTGCACCCCGACTCCCGCTGCAGCGCAAGCCTGTCGCTCGCACCTCATCATCCAGCAAACGTCCCAACTCAAGCTTGTGTTCTGAGCACGGTCACCCCCCACCAACAACGAGTCTCGCCCCCGATCGCCTACCCTCGCCGATACCAACCCCTCCACCTCCAAGTGCCGGTCGCGCCAACGCCCCGTCTTTCCAGCTTGCCTTCAACAGTCTGGGCCTGGAACGCCTGGGGTCTGCGGTCGTTGAACCCCAGTTACCCGTCTTAGATGCAGTTGCGGAAATTCCGTCCGGGGAATCCACAACCTACCAGGTAGTGACTTCAACCACACCCGCACCGTTCCCGAAGCGCCCAAGTCTTGGTTCTCGCCGTCAGTCACTGCTTGCGCCGTCGCACCAACATCTGATTAATAGCCTGCTGGATTCGGGGCCCACGGGTGAACCTGACGGATTTGACAACGGTCGCTTCAATACGTACGGCACAGGTATGGTTCGCAAGATCTGGGTCAAACGACCAGGTGGGTCGGCCACTCTGGTCCCCATCACGGATGACTTCGTGGTGGACGAGCTGCGAGACCAGGTGATCAACAAGTACGCCAACTCCCTGGGCAAGACTTTCGATGCGCCAGATATCGTCGTCCGAATCTCACCCCGAGAGGGCTCCAATCGACAAACGACACCCGATCGGATCCTGAGCCCAGAGGAGTCATTGATGAACGTGGTGGACACCTACTATCCCGGAGGGCAAGTCATTGAAGAGGCTCTTATTATCGACATTCCTCAGCGACGCACACCCAAACCGTCCCCGCGCCCTCAAGTCTACTATAACCAGTCCGAGCCCGGCGAGCATGGCGACTACTTCCCTCTCATGCCAGCAAATCCCACTGTTCCCACACCGCCATCACACCCAAACAACTCCTCTGCCAGTGTCAACGCCCATCCCGCCCCGTCGATATCAATCCTCACTACAGGTATGGCCCCGCCACTGCCTTCGCCGGGAAGTCGCGGGAATCGACACCCGCGTCGGCCACCACTCACTCGCCATACTACAAACTCTCCTACGATGCTAGGCCAGGTGACGGCTCCGAAAGGTTTGTGCCCTCTTGAACCCATCACCATCTCAGACTTGGCCTTTTTTCCAGACAGACCCGCTTACTTTTCTGTTAGACCCCAACGGTGTCCCAGGACCTCTATCGTCCCAGCCGGTGCCCTCCATTCCTACTCCGCCCGGTCCTCCCCCGGAGTCACCTCAGGCCAAGTCGCTTACACCTCCTGCACGTGGAGCTTCTCCGCGTCCCCGTCCGTCTGCGTCGTCCGCCAAGCCGAAGAAACCGAGTGCGACGCAGTCATTAAGTGGAGCCTTTGGTGGTCTCATTGAGGGCACGGTGCCACCGATCAACGTGTTGATTGTTGAGGACAATAATATCAATCAAAGGCTTTTGGAAGCGTTCATGAAGCGTCTGAGTGTACGTTGGAAGTGCGCTGCAAACGGCGCAGAGGCCGTGAAGAAATGGCGACAGGGCGGTTTCCACTTGGTCTTGATGGATATTCAATTGCCCGTCATGAACGGATTAGATGCAACGAAGGAGATTCGGCGACTGGAGCGGCTGAACGGCATTGGCGTGTTCCCTAAAACCGCCGATGGACGGGCTAGTGCGGCCACGGCCAGTGTGACCTCACCGCCAGCCATTCCAGGCAACAGTGATCCCCTGAATGAAGAAGACACGTTACATGACTTGTCTCTGTTCAAAAGCCCGGTCATTATCGTGGCGTTGACGGCGAGCAGCTTGCAGAGTGATCGTCATGAAGCTCTGGCGGCCGGCTGTAATGACTTCTTGACCAAGGTATGTTGTCTGACTTCCCATGACCTAACCCCTTACTAATAGCGATCTCTTCATAGCCTGTGCGATTTGAATGGTTGCAGCAGAAGGTCACGGAATGGGGATGCATGCAAGCTCTGATCGACTTCGAGGGCTGGCGCAAGTGGCGTGGCTACGCCAATGATACTTACTACTTCCCAACGGCGGAAGGTCATACAAGCCCCATGCAGACCGGACCCGAGACAGCCTCGAAGAAACCGTCCCCGAGTATCACTCCCTCGCCGTCTTCGATGCTCAGCCAGAATGGCAAGAAGGAGCGTAAGGCCCTCCATCTGCCCAAACCCATTGATGTGACCCCGGAGGATTCTTCCGGAAGTGGGAGCGGAGAGGGACTGGATTCGCCAAGCAGCCCGGTGACATCTGTCCCAGTCCCAGGTATCTCAGCTGATGCAGACGCACTCTGATTATTCGTCAAAAGAACTCTCCTCCATTCCCCGCAACATCCTCCTCTCAAACAAACGCACCTACCCACTCACCTTTACCTCTTTGTCTTCACTCACGACAGTCCCTGGCGCAACCAGCTGGTGTGTATATGGTGTTATTTCGCTTCACTGCAATCCGCCGCCTGCTATCTTCGTTAACTCCCTCCCGCAGCCCTCTTCCCCCCAATCTGGCGGCCTGTTAGTTACCCCGCGACTTTGTGTGTCTCTTCCCATGGATACCCAGCATAGCCATTTATTGCTCAGCTCGATGTTTTTTTTTCTTCCAGTTCTAGTCTTGGCCTGCTTGCCTGCTTGCTTGCTTAATCAGGATCACGTCCACCCGGCTACCTCAAATCCTCCTTCTCTTTTTGGTCTGGTCTCCTATTCTTATTTTCTTTTCTTATGTATGTCCGGACCGGGGCGTCCCCGCTTAGTTTCCTTTCACCTTTTCATCTTGTCTTGGAATGTTGAAGTCTCTCCTCCGGAGAACAGCCCGTTCTATCGCATATTGCACGTCAGAATCCCCTTATTAATTCTGATGAATCAAGCATGCGACAGGGACGACTATTCTCCCGCACACGAATGGAGAAAGCTTTTTTATTTTCTTGTGGAAACCTATATCTCTCTGCTTCCACATTTTGTTGCCCTCACCGCCCCTCCCTTTTTTCCCTACGTCACCCACTAGGGTGCAGTACAACTACACAGTACAGTACAATTGTCACATACATACACAGATATATAACCTGCATATAATTCTTGAATCTTGTCCGGTTTTCCGTGCTGAGTTTGTGTATGGGTTTGAGTGAGAAGTGAGGGGGGGATTGGATTTTTCTCGGGTGAAGTAGGTCCTCTCCCCTACCTTGTGTAGCTCAATCCGAGACGAATATAGCTCCATAGACATTTATCGTAAGTTCTCTACGAAGAAAACAATTGGAAAAAAAGGAAATATCATAGGACGTTTCAACTGTAGATTGATAGTCATGTTGTTGATATGTTGATTGGTTGGTTGCATCTTTGGCATGAGAACCTAGGATGTAGGATCCTCTGCACTGGTAAATAGATAGATAGATAGTGACCAGAGGATCTGAAAGAAAGGTAAAAAGGGAATTGTATAATACAATACTCCGGCTGAAGGGGAATCTGTTGAGATAGATCCATCCCATCCTGGGGCGGAGAAAAGAGAATCAAGGAACCGGCACACACATAAACAAAGCTGGAAGGACCACAAGGATAGAGGAATTACACGCCCATATAATACAGTTCGCCAGGGGGGGGGGGGGGGGAAACAAACCAAACCCATCATTGGCATACCGATAACATCCATACAATGTTCGTTCTCGAAGACCTCACTGAGGTGAGGAGAACGTCGCAAAAAGTAGAAAAGAGAGAGGGAGAGAGAGAAGGATCGAGAAGGGGGTTTAGACCTTCACGCGAGTGGGGATCTTGACCTGGCCCTTCTTCCGATCAGAGCTGGGAACACCATAGCGGCGACCAGGAGCCTTGTGACCCCGGCCAGTGAGGCCTGTGCTTTCCCGGCTGACGACCACATCCGTGAAGCGGAACTCGAACCGGGAGTTCTCGGGCTGGACCTTCTGGGTTTTCATCTCCCGGAGCTGCTGGGCTCGTTCCTTGCGCTGTAGCTCTACCTGGGTCTCCTGTTCGAGACGCTCCCGGTACTTCTGACGGACCTCGGCGGGCTCAGTTTTACCAATGGTCAAGCGATTGCGCTCATGAGTGATCATGTGAGGGTGAGGGATACGAGCGTCCGCGGGCAAAAGGACCTGGTGCTCTTCGTCACCCTTGCCGACCTTCTCAATATTGGCAGGACTCTCCTGAGTGATCCTGCGGATAGTCTCGTCGGGGTTGGCTTCAAGCAATTTAGCGTGCTGGTTTCTCATAGCAGGGGCAGCAGAGAACACGCGGCCAGCGTCAATCCGGTTGAATTGCCGAGACTCGGAGACAGGGTAGAAGATTTGAGGGTCGGTTAGGCGGTGAACCGGCAGGTCATTAATGGTCTCGTGGGACTTTCGTCTGTCATCGGGTTCCGGGAGGTGGGTGACAGGAACCATTTCATGAATGGCACGCGCGTAGGGGAGTGCAAGGGATTTGCCCTGGTGAACGACGCATTAGCTTTGATAGAAAAAAAAACAAGATAGCGTCGACAAAATTAACTCCAGGAGAAGGTGGGTATTTGATGCATGTCAGATTTAAAGGCGTTGTAATCATGCCCAGAGACTGGGTCATAAAGACTAATCGATTTTTATAATTGTCTCATCATTGCATCCGAGAGGCGTTTTTGAGGGGACGCGGGAGCAAGTGTAGAAGGGAAGGGCAGGGGGCAAGCCATACTTGTTCTTTCATCTGATTCTCCAACTCGACCAGTCGAACTACCGCGGCTACTCTCCTCATATCCACGCTATACTGGACACTCACAGCCCGCACGCTCTTGTTCTGAACGGTCACCTGACGATGAATCTCGTTGCGCATGTCCTCGCTCAGTATAGGGTCGCTGCGATAGAGAGGGTTTCCGGGAAAAGGCTTGTTAGTATGTGTGATGTAGTTGGTTTCACCAGGAGTGTGATGTTGTAGTTCGGACCCTTTCCCGCGAAGCCATCTGATCATCTCTCTGCGAAGCTTGGTTTGTGAAGGTCTTGTGGTAGAAAAGGAGCGAGAAGCCGGCCGCGAGGCATCTGTGAGGGAAGAAGATGTGTATGCGGTAGTGAGTCTGAAGAGAGAGGTGGAGGGGGAGGAAGAGAGGTAGGGAAGGAGCGAGTTAGAGACCAGGTGGTTCGGTATTCGTTGAGCCATCTTGGTGTGTATTTGTGCTAGACAATGAGACAAGGGGATGAAAGAGGACCAGAGGAGGAGAAGTAGGTAAGATGAGGTCAATGAATGCGGGAATAAGAGAAGGGAGGTCCAATTGACCGGAGGGGAGAGGGGAGGGAGGGGGAAGGGTGAAGCAAGTAGAGGTGAATGTTGACGAAGCAAAAAGAAAGAGAACTGCACGCGAATCGAGGGTAAGAAACTTTTTCGGGAGATGCGGTTGCATCACGTGAGCAGACCAACTTTCGTGGGACGGTTTGAGGCCCACTTGCCCAGATAGGAAGGTTGCTACTGCCGCCGCGGCGTTGCGGGATTGAAGCAATTACGAGTATCTCATTTTGTGGGAATTAGGAAGGATGAAAAATAATACTAATAACACTGAGCACGCCTCTTTTTGCCACGCTCCCACCGCTTCGACCATCCATCCAACGGCGCAAGAAATCAAAGCTATAGAATGGAAGCCACAAGTCAGGAAGAGAGGGAGAGAGAAGGAAAGAACAAAGTGTCCCATTTGAGCCAACCAATGACCAATACAAGAAGATATGACGCTGTGAGGGAAATGCCAAATCGAATCATGGTACTAGTAACGTGCGACGATGCAGCAGCTAGCCAACAGTAGCCTTCCAGAAGTCTTAAGTGTATACCCATGTCAACGCCTTGCCCCAATTGCAAACATTGGTGGTTATGATTGGAACTGACTCAGGAAAATGCACACGAAAAAGAGTAGGGAATCGATCAATCTTTAGCAAGAACACATTAGAAGGCAAAAAAAAGAAGGCACAGACACGGGGTATGAAGATGGTGCAGGAAACAACGCAACAGGGACTTGATCAATGTAAAATCCTCACGCAGATGCAAGATTCCCCTCCGGAAAAAGCAGACATGCAAGCAGCGCCCCTGTTTCCATGCTATCAGAGTGCAATATGAAAAGAAAACCACGCAAGTAAGTCAAAGTGTCCAGGGCCCAAAATCCTTACTCCGAGGAGGAAGGTGACCCTCCAAATGCTAATCTAACTTATAAAAAACGATAATCGCCCCAATACGCCAGGTAGCCCAGTGGTCATCAAGCATCGTTCCACAGAGACGTAAAATTGTTCTTTTGACCTCTAGCGGCCCATCATGTAGTCCGGATAGGAAAAGTTGAACCCTCCCAGATTCGGCGCCCCACCGGTGAGCGGCGGAGGAGGTGAAACCATCGTAGAATTGGTCCGGATTCCAAGGCCCGGGTTGGAGTTGGGGTTGAAAGCGCCATTGGTAGGAATGGGGGCATGCATGTTGCTGACCGGATGGATAGGGCCGTTGTTCCTCAACGCCATGGGGGGAGCGAGACCGGGAGGCGCTGATAGTCCAGGTGGCGGGCCACTGACCGTAGAGAACACATGGCTATTGTGAATCCCACCGAGGCTGCTGCCGCCAGGTACACCGCTTTGAGAAGTCATGGTATTCGATGCACTCATGGAGCCCGGTTGCCCGGAACGCACTCCCAAAGGGTTCTTCGAAAAGCTGAGTCGAATCCCAGTCTTGATACTATTCGACAATTTGAAGCCGTAGAGCTCGTTGAGCGCCTTGCCGGCGGTACCCACATCGTCGAACTCCACAAAGCACATAGGACCATTCTGTTTGTTCCGGAAACACAGACGTTTGTAACCACGCTGCTTAGAAAATAGAGCCTTGAGCTCTTCCTCCGAGGTATCCGGCGGAAGATTACCAACGTACAGAGTATTGCAAGGCGGATTCATATCGTTCGGATTCGCAGCAGGTAGACTGTGGCGGTGCATGTGCGGGTTGCCGTAGGGAAATCCATGGCCGGCCCCAATGTTATTCATTGCTTGCGGATATGTGGATGCAGGGGTAGATACTCCCATGTGCGCAGAGTTCTGAGGAGTGTAGCCCTGGAGTGGTGGCGATGAGATGTTAGTCGCCAGGGACATACTGGCAAATTGATTACTCAAAATCTGAGGATTCGTTGCACGGCGCCCAGCTGATACGGCACCAGAATGTCCGTTTTCCGCATAGCCAACCGGATCCTTAAGAAGTTCCCCCGTGTCTTCGTCAATGTCTTGATCGATCATCGATTTGCCGCTGACACGAGGCAATTCAGGGATCCCACTTCCAAGTGGCGATTGTGGAGCAAAGATGTTGTGCAGGCGGGAACCTGACTCTGGCAGACCATCACCGTTGGCAGCTCCGGTTGTCGCGCTGAGCTTCTCCAGACTCTGAAAGGTTCCGTTGAACCGTGACGATTGACGCGACAACGCTCCGTTGACACCTCCCAACAGACTGCGGTTTGCAGTGTGATCAATGGTGTTCCGTCTAGGCGCCAACGACGATCCCACTGGGCCGGCCAATACCTCCACAATCATGGTAGCATCGTTCTTGGAATTCGGTTTTCCATGGAGCAAAGCTCGCGCCTCTTCAGCAGCGGCCAGCGTGCCAAAGCGCGCGACTGCACAAAGGTATCCGTTATCTTCCGGATGGTCAGAAGGTATGAATTCAGCTTCCACGAGGTCTTTCGCGAATAGCAGCATACTGCGCAAAGCCTCGCGACTGGTGTTGCGCGGAAGCTTCCGCATCAATATGATCCCACCAGCCCCATTGACAGGACGGGCGAAGCCGTTTAGCGACTGTGCCGAGTCGGCGAAGCGCATGGTGGTCGAAGCGACAGTTTCAAAGGACGACGAGGGCGCGATTGGGGAGAAGGGGTGAGTGAACGTAGGAGCTAGCGATGAAGAGGCCTGCGACGCGGGCGGACTGTACACGTCGGTCGACATCACATTCTGGGCCGTCGAGGGCGGCTGAGAAGCTGAAAGCGACTGGTGAGTCGGCGACGCGCCCGAGGATACAGACGGTGTGCGCTGAGTGGTGCTGAAAGAGCCGGGACTCGTGCGGGTGGATTGATTCGAACTTCCACTCATGCCTTGCAGAGGTATAAATCAACGTGTCAAGTCGATCGATCGATGAAATTCCACGAGCAGACTGGAGGAGCACGGACTCTCTAGGAAGGCAAGGGAGCGAAAGTCAAATGGGTGACAGGCGGCACCGGTTGGAGAAGCCAGCAATGAAAGAATTAGTAGCTGGAACGGTAACGCAAGCAACTTATCACGTATAAGTAATCTAGTGACAGATGATAGTCCAAGGTAAGTGAGACGTGTGATGAGTGCGATATGCTGGGTTGCGCGCGACTGGAATAGAAGTGCCGCGTTCGGCCGCGTTCAGGAGGCGATATGCGACAGAATGAGGAATTGATGGCGACGACACAATGGCTGAAACCTCAAACGGAATAATAACACGAGCAAATGTTGTGAATCGAAAGATGTGAGAATGTGAAAGGACTGATTAAATGATTTTGATGATCACAATAGTGGTGTAGGACAAGGCGTGGTGTATTAGTGGGGAGGAGGGGAGTGGGGGGTGGGTAGAATATGATGAAAGGAGAGGAAGATGCAGAATGGAAAAGAAACGGGAGGGGG